GACAAAATCGCTGCGAAGTGGACAAAAGAAGCAGTCCGTGCATCTTTATATATATATATACATACCATGATGTGTCAATCTCATCCAATTTTGGATCATTCACGTGATTTAGCGTTTCGTCCAAGTGGGTCACCACCATCACATGGATTCAACCCGTGTGCTGTTTCTGTTCAGGTGGAGTGCGACGTGTGCCGTGCGTGCACCATCCAGGCCGGTGCCCAAAGTCACTGAAAGATGGGATTTGGGGGTTGCTGCAAGTTGGCGTCGTGTGAAACACTAAATCGCTTGAAAAAGGTTTGAACCTCCAAGCCTGTGACTCATCCCACAAGTGGTCACACCATGTGACACCGACTCACGCGAACGCAATTTTCAAGATGCGATACCTCGTCCCTCCGCAGAATGTCATTGACAGAATCCATCATTTCTGGGCGAGAAGAAAACCACACAGCCTTCGAGAACAACACTTTTCTTTGGCGATAGTACCTGAAATCAATAGAATTCACCTTTTTGCTTGATCAAGGCAGCTGGGTGTGGTGAGCAGGGACCTGGCAAAGCAGCCTTCGATTGCAAGGGCACCCAGGACAATTGTTGGCTTTCAGTGGCAGAAAGCCATTGGCAGTTTCTTATGTTTGATTCAATTGCCTGCACTCAACATGCCTCGCAGGCCATTAACACGTGACACTAAGTATATCAGTCTATGACCTCTCAGATGAGCATGTTTGAACACAGCAAACAACGTTTGCCATTGTTCTGTGTGACTGTTTTTACCCGGTGTTCTAGCAACATAACATGTCTGTCAAATGCCTGGAAGAAAGACACATTTGCCGTTGACCAATGACATAGGCTATGCGGCTTTGGGCAATTGGCTGGAACCTTAAGAGATTTGCTCATGTCCGGAACCTCGCATCATGTCATGGCTTTGGCTTTTGAGGTGCCGTGCATGGTCTCCAGCAAAGAAAGTGTGGTGCTGCAAGGAGAAGGGCAAAGGTGCCATTGACGATCTCTTGATTGAAGATCTACAAACACCAAAGCATTTAGGATTTCTTGATTGACGTACCGTTAGTTTTACTTCCATTTTTCACCTTTCACCGTGACGCACATAACAGCACCGTCCATTGACGCCGTGTGCTGTTTGGACATGGTCTGATCTCACAAAATGGAGCGTCCGAGGCACGGTCTGTCAGTCAACGGTCGTGCAACCTGCATTGGGAGGCTGCCAGTCTCCGGATACGCCACCCCAGTGTGATGCAGGTGCTGGCAAGGTATGGAAGCCATTGGGCTGCATTTTAAACAGATTTGGGGACAACGGCCTTCCACTTGGGGTTCTTTTTGAGTTGTGTGGTCATTCTTGCCTAAGGAAGGTTTTCATCAATGGCCACTGGTCTTGGGAGGCACGAGCTTTGGCTGGTCCAAGTTTTTTCTTCGAAGTTGCTTTCCAAACAGCAAGAATTATGCTTGTTTTGTCCTGGGCCGACTTTTGCGACATTTGCTTCCCGACTTGCGATGCGACAGCGACAGATTGACAGTGACAGGCTCACATGGCACATGGTTCTGTTTCCGTGCAGAAGCCTTATGATTGCCACGCAGGCGGGTGACTTGATTTCGACTGTTGCTGCAAAGTTTGGACGAGCTTCTTGTCATTCAATAGTCTTCCATCTTCCCTGCTCAGGCCTTCCTGGATGGGAGCACGGCTGGTCTGGACCAAAGAAGACCTGGTGCGCTGCCCAGATGCTGGCCTTGGCGGTAGGTAGACTGTCATTGTGCCTGATATCACGCATGACTCACATGACATGGTTATGCAACGTCACGTGAGTGGATTCGTCCGGAGAAACATGCTTTCCATTGTTGCTCTCTCCTGGCAGTACACATAATGCTCCTTGCAGGTGCTGCAGCCACGAGCAGCTTGGGTGCCCTGGCTACGTGTATCATGGTGCCGGTGCTGGTGGGCACACTCACGTGCCATGGCCAAAAGCAGTGGGCAAGGGATCACTTAAGTGACCTATTGCAAGGTGCACCATATTGCAAGCACCACATATCGATCACTAGACTCTAGACTACTAGACTAGAGAGGTCATTTCATGTCGGGGTGAGATTCATTGCGATGGCCGTTCGACCAGAGGTTGTTGTCACCCATCACTATGTCTCTGGTGGAGCTGCTGGCGGTGCTGCCGGTGGTGCTGCAGCAGGCGGCCACAGCTGGTCCAGTGGTGGCAGCTATTCTTCTGGCGGCCACTATCACGTTCATCATGTCGTCCATCACGTGGTGCATTGATCCTGGCAGCGCAGATGCAATTTGGGAGATCAACCTGAGATCATGCAAAGCAGCAAGGAACGTCAAAGCATTGAATTGCGAGAACACCCCTTTTCCAAAGCGATTGAACGTTCTTCGCACAAGGCATCATTGATTTCGTCGCCCCTTACTTGCCTGGGGGCTGAGCACGTGGCAGTTCAGTGGGCCCAGATAAAATTTTGTTTTGGCCTTTTTTTGTTCTTGGTCAAGGATGTCCAAGGCAGGTAAGGGGGAAGCCCCTCACCTTAAATAAGAACAAACAAACTGTGAAAGAAGAGGAAAGGAAAGCAACCTCTTCTGTTCCAAAGTCCTCCCAATTTTCTTCCTTGTTTCCTTCCTTCCTGTTTGGTGGCCGCCTTGACTACTCGACAGATTCGACTAAGGCGCAACCTGAAGCATTTTTGCACAAACCTTTCTCATCATTTGGACTGCAAGATGAACGCAAGACAAGAATTGAAGACGAAGACACTGGAACATGAAGTTTGTAATCAGGGTAGTGTTGTGGTGAAACAAGTTTCGTCGGGTTTTATGTTTACCACTGATGGCACCTACAGACTCCAGACTTGTTTGCGAATTTGTACTGCTATCCGCTTTGGCAGTGTATGGGAGCCAGAGGGTGGAATGAAGCAAGGATCGCCAAAAGATTAGGCCAGTGAAAGGGGGTAGAACCTCGAACGTTGATATTCTGTCCTGCAAATGGAGTTATTTTGCACTACTTCACAGAGCACAGAGATTTTCAGGCAAATTCCAAGCCTGTCGTTTCACGGGCTTTGACAACAGAAGGTTTATGAAGGTGTCGTTCGTTCCAGTCATCCTCGCTGAACCTTCCATTCATACTGCCTTTTCGAGCCATCTCTCAATTAACTCAATTGACCACAGAGCGAGCACCAAGAGCTCAGCACCGGCCATACTTGTTTGGAAGATTGTTTGGTGTGTTACGAGGGCACCAGCGGCACAGACTTGGACAAAGTTCCAATAGGTCTGTGATTGGTCAATTGCTCACCTACTGATATGCTGAATTTCGTCGATCCATGAGATCCAGCAGGAACTGTGACTTTGCCAAGTTTAAAGAACTTGGTTCTTAGTGTTTGTTGCATCAATTGTGCGCGCGTAGGGAACAGAAACAAGGATTTGTGCTTGTTCAGTTGGCGTAGTCTGGCTCCAACTGCAACGGTGTCTTGATCCATGGTCGCCTCTTTGTTTTGGAAGAAGTGAGAACTAGCATGCACGACAAGTGCAACATGTTCAACATGGACATGCTTCGTGCCACAGCGCTTTTGTTCAGCACTCTTGAGATTGGACAGCTTGTGAGACACAATGTATATATTATATATATAATGTTACAATATATATATATATATAATATAACTCAACTACAAGGAGACCTGGCCAAGTAGTCGGGGTGAATGCGCTTTGTTTGAGCCTGCGACATCCACTTTCGCACACATCGGTCGTTTGTTCAGCCTGCGACACTGGCAGTCGTTTGAGACTTCTTTTGACCAGCAATGCCTTCAACCTCCAGCAATGCCTTTGACTATTTGATTAGGAGCAAGGACGCTACGAACGGGGCTCCTGGCCTTACTAGGAACAAGAAGCTACTAGTAACAAGTGCATCGCTTCTAGTAACAAGTGCCTTACTAGTAGTAACAA